TATTTTAGTGCATCTTATGGCCACTCGTAAAGTACTGTAAGATTTCCACCACCATGGAGAAAGCAAAGTCAGTAAATGCTGTGAAAAGAAGTAGTTATGTTTATGTATACATTACAAAATAATTATAAATAATAATAAATTAGATGATAAACTCTAAGTCTAATCTGTCCTGCTAAAAAATAAATAAAATAAAAATGAATTTATCAAACAACGAATTAAAGTAGCTCACTTCAATTCCTATCCACATGGAGACAAAATGTTCTTCACCAGAGGAATGGAAGAAAGAACAATATCAACAACATAGAAGAACCAGCTGAGGCAAAGCGTTGTAGTCATGGACTCACCTGATGGACTTTAAATGTTTGTTTTTTAAAATTGAAGAATCTTCACTCCTTAAAGGGAAACCGTCACTTATGTGAAATCAAATAATTGGAAAAAAACATTGAAAATAAGCTTTATTTTGTCTTAACTAATTTATGCTAACTTTTTATGTGATAATAATAAATTTTCTTCTAAATATATATTAAAGAGTTAGCATTTAACATTGCAGTCCAGTTTAGTCTAGGCACAACCAGGGTGCATACTGCATTGGAAGAAGAGAAACACTAATTTAGGGGTTCTGGACTACATCTTCTGTGATGGTTTACTAACATTATAGCTGTAAGAGAATTAGGGGAGATGTAATTCACATCAGGTGTACCTAAGGTTGCCTACACATTGCATTACACAGGACCATTAAAAAAACGATAGGGTGAAGAGGACCCTGCTCAAACGAGCTTACAGTCTATAGGAGGTGCAGTATAAAACACTGTAGCGGACCACGGGTAACCCACTGGTTACCTCCACTATTACCTGCCTTCAGCCACTCTGGAACCATCAGCACAAGAAAATACCAATTCCCCCAGTAACCAGATGAAACACAGTCCTGGGAGTCAACTGAGGTTTAGTGGAACACACACAGCTTTTATGCACAGACCCCTACATGGGGTCTCCCAAACATTAATACATGGCTTTTCCTCCCAGGGTTTACTACAGAAAAATATACAATATTCTAAAACACTCCAAAAATACATTTTCAAAAGGGGCTAATTTGATTGCATGGGAGGTCAGAGCTTACAATCAACACTCCTCTTTGAAGCTGGGTCACTCTGCAAGGTGTGAGAAGTCACACACAAGTGGCCTAGAAGACTGGCTACATTGTAAACTAACACTATCTCTTGCCATGTGTCCTGATTTCCTCCTAGATAAGGTGTCATTTGATATGAATAGTCATCAGCCCTCAAGAAAAACCCTTGTGCTCTAGGATGATATTAAAGAGACACTAAGACTTACCCACAGATTAATAACTAAGCCTCATTTCTATTACATTCAGAATGGGACAAGCACAATCTTCTAATCAAGCCCAAACATGATTTGTGAACAAGGGGAAAAAACATACGAATGAGTAGTAGTTCTGCCACAAACACAAGGGGATAGGAGATAGCAATCAAATAAGGTAGGAGTGAAGCAGAGCTGGAGGAGAGTAGAGTGCTGCTCTTTAGTATGAGAGAGCAAGGGACAGGTATGTGAGGTAGAACTTACTCTGGGAGGCCATAAGCTTTCCTAAAGAGTTAATATGATTCTGTAATTAGGCCCATTATAATTGTCAGCACCAGGCCCAATTAGCTCTTCAGCCAGTCTGCTCCTGTGGAAAACATGACAAATTGAATGTTTGAGTGTTTTGTTTTATCCCTTTTTTATTTTGATACCTGCTATTAGAATTGTGTTTCCTGTATTGTTACCTTTTCCTATTAAGCTTTAATTTAATAAATTGTTGTGGCTGGTTAATTGTAAACTCAGATTAGTAAACTAGTAGGTGCAGATAATGATACTTTGTGTTTCTGTGCTTTCTGACTTAATAGAGAGCAGCAGAGTTATAGAAGAATTTTCAACTTTAGTTAAAATATTATTTTTGGGCGTATGATGAGAAGTCGTTTCATCACAACATTCAATTGTAGCGCTTCAATATCTAATACATGTGTGTTATTCAGAAAGCTTAGTTAAGACATTCGGTTAAAGAGTATGATTATATTGGATAAAACAAATAACATCTATACCTCAGGACATTTTTAGGAACTAGCAAAAGCTAAATGTGCCCTAGTTGGTTAAATATTATTATATTATTTTTATAATTTAATTAGACTGGCTACATTTCTCTGAACTACTTCTGCTTGAACGATATTAAATATCCTGAAATAAATTGCTTTTTTCCAAGAAACTCATTTTGGAATTGAAGAAATGGCTGAATTGTAACTACATATGAGCTTGCTAGAGAAACTAATATTTAGGGAAAGAATATAAAAATACACATGGCTGTAAACACAGAATAAACTCCTGAATAAAATGCAATCATACGGTGTCACATTTGGAAATATCTCCATCCAAAGTCAATTTATAGTAAATGTCTTAATTCAGATTCAACCAAATAGCAATTTGGCCAAATTTGGACATATAATATTGATGGTTAGGGGACAGCCACTAAATGCTGATTCCATTCAAAGATCAAGTGAGAAGTAACCAATAGTGGGAATATAAATATATATTTTTCTTGATCCCTTTTTTTCCCTCTATTGGTTGCTTGATGGCTAGACAACTTGGTCAGAGTATCTACAAAATGGCAAGTCTTGTTGGGTGTTCCCAGTATACAGTGCTTAATACCTACCAAAAGCGGTGAAAGGAAGGACAACCGGTAAACTGGAGTCAGGGTCATGGGTTTCCAAGGCTCATTGATTCTCTTAGGTAGCTAAGGCTAGTTCACCTTTATTTTTTTCTGTTGAACTGTAGGATTGCATGGGAATTTTTTTTATTTTTACAGCACAGTGTGTTTACTTTTAAAGTTCTAATCTCCTGCTCTATCAATTAGACTTTAACCACATGTTGAAGATTAGATTAAACAGGCTATAAGAAGAGCAAGAGATATGACAATCTAAACTAAACAGACTGTGCAGTATGGGAAGCTAAAGAAAAATGCAGACTCTTTTTCAAGATGTTTTTAGGGAGGCTGTATGAGTCTCAGCCACAGAAACAAAAGTGATCTAAATGCCTAAATGGCACATTATTGTGCAGTGAGTTTTTAGCATGACCGAACTGCTTTTTATCTTTATTTTTTTGTCAACCTTTATTTTTTGCGGTGCATGAAAAGACAAACATTCCTACAATGCCTCAACAGCAGTGGCAAGATTAGTCATATAAATATGATATCAATGTGTGCCATATGAAATACCTGCACCATTTCTTTTAAAGTAACATCAAAATACAGGCTAGGTCAGCTATGTCTAGCTTACAGTCAGGATAGAGGCAAAGCTTAGTTTGCCTTAAGATTTAAATCAAAGCATGAAACAGAGACATAGAGTAGAAGCCTGTTAAGGTTGCTAGACATGTAAGGTGTAAGTAAGTAAACATGTTTCAAAACTATTGAACAGCTGAGCACTCCACCCCAAAGATTCCTAACACCGCTATAGGAGCTTTAAAGACAAATTATAGCCCAGAGGTTCCCACACAGGCATGCCATGGAATGTATAAACATAGCACCGGGGAAACATTACTGCTCAACAAGGACCCGGTCGAGTGCCACAGTCCTTTAAGACCGCGACCGGGCCCCTGTAATGTTGATCGGCTGGGAGGAAGTGACAGCCTGTCACTTCCTCCTAGCATCATGCAGAGAGACAGCACGGGAGGGAGAGGAGGCAGCAGCAGCGTGAGGGGAGAAGAGCATGAAGAGCTCCAGACCCTTCACTCCCACAGCAGCAGGACTCCTAGGCTAGCGATATAAAAAAAATACCTTGTGTGTAAGTGTGTGTATGTGTATGAGTGTGTATGAGTTTGAGCGTGTGAATAAGTATAAGTGTGTGAATGAGTATTAGTGTTTGTATGTTTGTGAGTATTAGTATATGTGTATGAGTGTGTGTGTGTGTGTATGAGTGTGTGTGAGTGTTTGTGTGAGTGTGTGTTTGTGTATGAGTGTGAGTGTTTGTATGTGTATGAGTGTCCGCACACATCTGTGTATGTGCATCTGCGTGTCAGGGAGTGTGTTTTTATGTCATTGTGTATCTGTGTCATGGTGTGGACATGTTTCAATGTTTGTATGTGACAGGTTGCATGTGTATATGTCGGTGTGTATCTATATGTGTGTATGTGTCGGTGTCTATATAAATTTGTGTGCATGTGTTGGTTATGCATTTGTGTGTTAATGTGCATGGATATCTGAGTTTGTATGTATGTGGTAGTGTATGTGCATACATCCAATCAGTCCAACACCAGCACAACATACAAGCACACTCCTGCAATTTAACACAAATATTACATACAAACACACCCCTGCATTAAAACAAAAAAATATACAAACACACCCCTTCACTCAAACACAAAAACTTCACACAAATGTACATCCAGATTTAAAAGTGAACATGACATTCAGACACACCCCTGCAATCAAACATCACATACACCCCTGTATTAAAACACAATAAATGTATACAAGCACCCCTTCAAACACCAACACTGTATATTATACTATAGCGCCAGTAAATGCGGCAGCGCTGTACAGGTATACAATCTAGAAATTTTGACTTGGGGTGCCTTGGAAAAAAAAATTGAAATATTAAGGGCGCCTTGAACCTAAAAAGTTTGGGAAACACTGTTATAGCCTATAATACTGCAATAACCGATATTGGTCGCAAACATAAAGTGAAAGAGTGGGAAGAAAAGATCACATCAAGCTTCTCAAAGAAATTCCAATGGAGAATTCCACAATTAGGCATAAAACAGACTTTGGATTGTGCATTGTGGAGGCAGTTATACCGAGGTAAGCATGCTACTGAGAGTCTCAGTCCCATATTATCCAATACCCCTATGGGGCAGATCTGAAACCTTCATATGTACCTGCCCGATTAAAGACCTAGACGATATTTAGACGATCTAGACAATATTTTGCCGGGCAATAGGGGCGCTCCAGGCAGCATCTACAGCCTTCCATCTGGTAATTCAGGACAGGAACTCTGTATGTGCAGGCTTGAGTGTAGGCTACGCCTGATTCTCACGCTCCCGACTGCGTGTCTCTGTCGTTTTTGGACCGGACAATGAACTTCGGTCCGAACCTTCCATTCTGTGTCAGGTGTTGGGTCCTGAGGTCTGAGGGAAGGCAGGGTAGTAGGCTTAGCAACTTGCATGCGGGCCACCAATCTTTCCGAAGACAATTCAGAAAGCTTATTCAACTTGCAGATCACCTCTGACTCTCCACTACATGGGTCGGAGGAGCATTCAGCATACGCCATTTTGTGTCCCGCCTCTGGGGCGTAGACTGGAATCACCCCCACTGGTCCAAAGGGGGTGAACAGGGCACCAACTGACACTTGGTTCAGCTCTGGTTTCTTCAGGTAGGAAATCAACCGCCTCTCTCTCAGTGCGCACTGGGCCGTAGGTCGCACTGGGCCTTCACCCAGAGTGTGTCCACTCAAAGTAGAGTTGCTTATAATGGATCAGACCCAGGCTAGAGCAACTTAGCAATCAATTTGGATTGTCAATGGGTCCAATAATAGCCCCAAAAATCGTTGCAAGACACGTCTTGTAGGCTTGGCAGTCAGGCCCTGCCCCCCCAGGAGCTGCTTTATTAAGCTGCAGTCATTTTTGTGCTTAGTGTCCCTTTAATATAACTATAATAGCAGATATGAAAATATATAAATGTGAAATAAAATTCTACAAATCATTCTAATTGAAGTACAAACTTACTGAAATGACAAAAAAATTAGACAACAAGTAAATCTAAACGTACATAATTCAATGAACTCACCTTTTTTTTTCACTTGATCTTTAGAATTCAATCCCGTTATTTTATTAGCAGTCAGAAGAAAGAGAGAAGTAGCAAAGAGGAATTATATTTACTAGATAAACCGAGCAATTTAATTCACATTGTAAAAAAAAAGCTTCTATCACTACCTAGGGCCAGCCAGCCATTACTTGATAAAGTACAGATCATTACTTTTAGCACATAGTGCCTGTTTGGCATTTGACATCTGAAATATCAGTGAAAGAGCAACCAGCAGCCATCTTAAAAAGCCAGTCGCTAACAGCTCCCATTATTCTCCATGGGAAGAAATCAGTGACTGGTTTGAACCTGTTGCTACTTTTAATAACTCTCCAAACGAAGTATAAGTCATGCCTCTGCAGTTTCACTGCTCAATTATCTACAATTTTGGAGCTAAATCACTTTGATGCAGTCCTTGGCCACACCATCATGCATGTGACCTATATAGCCTTCCTAAGGACTTTCTGCAAAGAGAAAGCTAATGTTTATACTTCCTTTATAGAACATTCTGTTTAATTTACAATTTCTTATCTCCTGCTTTTTTAACACCTGTGTGTGATTACAGTTTAATTTACAGATTTAAGAGTAAAGTAAGTCAACATCTGATTGGAAATAATACTATTTTTTTTATGCCAGAGGAGAAATTGCTAGGGCTGCATAAATGGAAGCAAAGAAGTTTAACTCCTAAATGGCAGATAATTGAGCAATGAGACTGCAGGGGCATGTTCTATACACCAAAACTGCTTCATTAAGCTAAAGTTGTTTTGATATCTATAGTGTCCCTATAACCTTGTCTTTCTCTCTCTCCTCACTTTCTTTCTTTCTTTCTTTCTTTCTTGTAGTAAAAGAGTTAAAACGTACACAATGTGGCCTTGTAATCACTGCTACAATGACAGTTTTGAAGTGGATGTAACTAGAAGAGGATGTCAGAAATCAGGGATTGATTCAGCATATTTTAATTAAGTCTTCCTAAGGGACACATTCAAACATCCTCCAGAATGCGAATTTCTATCCTGAATACAAATCCTTAGCAATAACAAGCCACCCATTGAATAACATAACATGTGTATATATTGATCTCATACAGAAAATTTAATATACTGTGAATGAGATATTTATTTTTCAAAACACGTCTACTTCGAATTATGAATTATGCCTGTAGCTACTGATGAAATATCATCTAAATTCAATGGAAAAAAATAAATACCTCAAATAGTAACGTTTTCATTCATCTGCTGAGAAGAAAAGAAAATTGAAAACTTAAGGTCACTCTAATATTAACAATGATCCTTCTCATTACAGCTTTAATGCCCACATTTAGAGCTACCCAACTACTTGAGAGATTTTATTGTGTATTATAACATTGATTTAACGCAACCCAGTCACCAGACCTATGCTTATGATTCTTACCATTAAAACATTAACCAATAATGACATGCTTGTTGACCAAACAAAGGAACAAAGTCTTGTCAGCTACTAATAAATAAATATGTCAATTAACTCCTAGACTAGTCTATTTTTCACCCATAGGCTAAAGCTATGTTTCAGGTTCTGCACTCACTACATTTATTAATACTTGTTATTTTTCTTTTTCATAGCTTGTTATATTTTTGGCATGTCATACGGTTTTTGTATTTGTTATTTGTAAAGAAAAATGCAAATATTGAATAAAGTCAAGTGATAAGAGTGATAAGTGCTTTAAATTAGCTTGTCACTCTCTTATAAAATGCATCCCTGGGACATGTAATCACTATTGCCATGGTAACCATCTGTAGATTTGATTAGAGTAGTATCTTATCCCTCATTCAGTAGCGTCAAGCACACCAAGCTTACTGAGAGCCTACCTGTCCAGCCTCGAACAGACAGGACCATGCAGAAAGCTCTGCTGGAGCGCTCTTTGCATATTCCTAGAGCCTGACACACAGGTGCAGGACACAAGGGAACTAAATCGAGATGGTGGGATAGGACTCCAAAAAGTGGGAATGTTGGGAGCACTGTACTCCTTGCATTAGTAAACACATGACATTTATATCCAGTACTCCTGAGCATTAGAGAGATCTCCAGCAGTGGAACAGTGCTTTTATAACAACCTAATAAAAGATCCTGTGGCACCATTCCCTTTCCCTGCCAGTGTCTTAGTAACTTAAAATCTAAAAAGATGAAATATTATTTTATTTCTCATATTATCACCTCAGTCCAAAATTCCAATAAGCCCCATGGTAACACTTTAAAGGTTAAATTAGAAACTGTATTTCAAGTCTTACGAAATTTTGCTGTAGCCAGGGAATATAAATAACAGACACAACACAGTCAGACACAATACATATATTTTCTATTCAAATGTCAACATTGTCAATCAGCAAAGGAACAGTGTGGCGTGATAAGAAATGTTTATAAAGACTTGGCAGTCTGTCTAATGCCAGCGTCTCTGATATGACCATATCTGTATATATGAATCATTTAAAAGATTCTATAGCAAAGTAATGGCTAACCTTGTCATCCCAGATATGTATGAACTACATTGCTTTACCCAGTATCCAAGCATTATGGGAAATGTAGTTTGTGATACCAAGCTAAGCCACCATTTTTCTACAACAGTAACTCTAAAACATCAGAACTTAAAATTAACTGCATTGTAACAGAAATGTAAAAAAATGAGAAAGAAACAAATATTGTCAATTTTAAGAGCTTAGAAACAATCTGCTTTGGTGTATTTTAAAAAATATTAGACCATGTCCCATGGTATTTTCAGCAAAACTGAAAATATTAAAGAAAAGTAAAATAAATATAGGATGAGCAGCAGGCTTTTATAAAATAGTAAGGGATGAATTCCAAAAAAATCATGCTGGGTTTTCACAACATACCATCTCTCTGGATGTTGACTAACTCAGAAACCAGAACAATACTTTTAGTGGCAACACATCTTGGGGTTTTGATTGAAATAACTAGCTTTGTTTTGAAGTTCCTGAGAAAGATTCTGCCACTCTGAGACATGGGGAGTCATACCTTCCTGGCAGCTACAGATGTAAAGACGTAATACCCAGCAGGATGAGATTGTGGATTAAGACTCGTATAGGCTCTGTAGAAGACAGTTCTGTTTACATTGTTGGCTGTATTGTTACATCTATTATTTTTATTTGATGTTTTATTTTTATTGAAAACAGATATTCTAAGTACACACAGATGTGACATTTGTAGGTTAGGTTGCAGTAAGTGTGTTATAAGTCTAGTTCTTTTATCAATCTTATTTATTAAAAAATAATGCATTTTATGATCCATGAATCCATCCTTCCTGCACTTCCTTTCCAATATGCAGGGCTTCCCTTTTTATTCTATTTTTCTTGCACAATGAGCCATGGCTTAAATCTGTTTTATGGTGAGAGAATTCACCACAAAGGTGGGTGGGAGTTGACGTTCAGCTTTTAGCATTTGAAAGCTGACAACTGGCCTACAAGTCCCAGCAAACCTTAGTATGCCAATGAAGTACCCTGAATTGGAGAATCTCATATGATTGAGCATCATTTAATTGAGCATCATGACTCAGTGAATCACTTCCTAGTTTTGTGAAAGCTCACTTACAACATTTCAAAGCCCAGTAATTTTCATTTATGTCAGGAAATTAAAATTTGAGTACACATTTTTATTTTTCAAAATTATTTTTAATGTATTGTTTTTGTTAATATGCTTGCTGTACTAATTACATGATGCATAAAAATTGAGTCACATTCAGCTCGTTATATATATGTTTACATTTTAAATATATTTGAAACATTGTAAGTACAACTAGCATGCAAAAAAATGAAGCAATGAATACAGACTACAACATATTAAAGAATGCAAGAATATCAACAATGTCTACCACACACAACAAAAATATAAATACTGGTATTAATTGCATGATTTTGCTATTTCATGACGAAAAGTCATGATTATATGAAAGACACGGAGACGAGTATTGCTTAACCCTTTCTTTACTGTCCACCAAGCAGCAAAGAATACAACAGTAAGAAAGAAATGGTAACAATAGTGATAGGCCACACCCATACCAAGTCCCAGTATAATAGTCAGCACCTTCCCACATATTTCCTCTTTCTTTGGAGATACGACAGGATAACCGCCAAACATCAGCATAGAATCAATCTGTGAAAACACAAAAAACAGGAGCCGAACGGTTAAATTGGTACTTGAACCAAAGTGCGCATGCCAAGACATAACTTATAGCTAGACAGAAGCAACACAGTGTGCATAATTCGAAATAGGTATACCAGACAATCATATAACATGAACAGATCAAGAAAACATACGATTCAATACAAACCCAGAGCGCATAGCGAATACCTACCACACCCTGGAAGCCTACTGGAGAGAGAAAACAAGAGGGAGGGATAAACAAGTGAAGCAACGTAGAAGGGTGGGACAATACTCGCCTCCGTGTCTTTCATAAAATCATGATTTTTCGTCATGAAATAG